AAGCAAGAATTACATATTAGAGAAAGAGTTAAGTCATGTTATGTTATCTTGATGGACACGAATTAATATGTCAACCTGACTATTGTGGACGATTCTTGAAAATTCAATCATATATTATGGTCGTATCGTAAAATACGAGGAATTTAATATTACCCTCGATCGATCAATAAGAGTCTTCACTATAGCTGGCACGTAAGTCCTCACTTCAGCAATAGTCTTTCCTTGAGTCAACGCGTAGCCAATGTCATTGCCTTCAATGTCGCCCATCAAAGCCAGAGAGTTTCCAATCCATTCCGAACATTCTAATAAAATGTGACACTAACGAAAGTTAGAAAAGGAAAGCAAACATTAACGAGCCGAGTCGAGTCAGGTCTGGTATAGGTCGGATAAATTAGGTAAAATTTTAATATTATTACTACTACAACTGTTTTAGTTACCTACCGGATGGTGAGTTGCAAACATATTTGAGATGACTCTTAAACCAACGCATTTGTTGGCTAAGAGAAACAGCATATCGTGGAATAACAATGTCGCGTTTTTCGAAGAATTTGCGGCCGAGCACCGGGCTTCTTGCCACCGAGAATATGACCCCGTCATAGCTGGCCGCGTTCGATTGATTCATGTTCAGATATGGTCGAATATTTGGCAGTCCTAAATCCTGAGCTGCAGATTACATATGTATAACCATTTTTAAGTTGGTAACCATGTAAATGTGGATAATATATAATATAACTATATAACTATCGGTAACGAAATTCATTGGCGAAAGTGAGTTTATTTGTAACCAAATCACTCTTTATAGACCACAAATATTTGCTTTCGACATATATTAAGGCTCGATTACCATGTAATGTGAACTAGTGTGGTTAATTAATTACTTATAATCGGTCCATTCATCAATTCTTTAGTTTATACTGTAAAACTTTTTTGCCTTATTAATTAATACATTTATCTATATCTATATCTAAAGGTTTGATTATTTTTCAAATAGTAACTATTTTCGTCCAAAATAAATCTATTTAATATTTCTGGATATTAATTTAACAATTTATAGTATATATTAAATGATCACTTATGGAAATTGCGGCTCATTATTTAAGAAAGTAATTAAGCCATATTTTAAGATACCTTAGTTACTCAAATTAAATGAATTAATTAATGTATGGTATAAAGTGGACGGATTAATCAATATACGGTGTACTTTTTTTTGTAATGTACATACTATTATATTAATTTTTAGACGTGTATTACAATTTGTGTATTTATTTTTCGTTTGAAATTATCATAATAATTTGGTCGTAACTCCGACAAAATAATATGAACGGATAATTTGATATAATGCGCGTGTAATGGTGTTTTTTTTAGAAAAACTCAGGTCAAATTTTTTTTTGTATAATTAGTGGGTCTCAATTTAATTCATTTGATGTTACGATATTTCAAATAATTTTTGTGTGAATTGCACTGTTTATTTTTTTAGCATGATAAAGAGTGTCGATTTTTTTTTGCATTAAAAATCTTATGACTTATTGCTTTTACTCAACTAGTTAAAAATTTTTATTTGGATATTTTATACAAAAATAAATTTATTTTAGTTAATGAAACAATATAAGTTTATATTTATACTTATTATTCAAATAGGTTTTTAAATGTATAAAATTTTATCAAAATAATTATTTTATAGAATCACGTTATAGTCAAATCGAATTTTTGAATTAAAATTTTGAAATAAGACATATATAGAAACGAATATAATGTAATTTATTATCAATTATGTGCTATACACGGGTTGTGTACTAATTTTAAAAATAGACATTCATATGTAATTTTGCACAATTTAAATTTTATATAATATTTACAATATATTAATATAAGTACATTGTATTACATATTGATTCTATGTTTTTAATTTATAAATATTATTTAATGAAAATTTTAATTTATAAATATTAATTAATATCTCTTACCCGTGCATAGGGCTGCAAACGAGTTGAGCCGAGCCGAGCATTGGCCTTATCGAGCATGATTGATTTTTTTTTGAGCTGCTCGAGCTTGAGCTCGTCGAGCTCGATTTTTTAGGCTCGAGCTCGACTCGATAAGAAAATAGAATAGCTTGAGCTCGGCTCGAGCTTGACTTGAATTCAAAATGCTCGAGCTCGGCTCGAGTTCAGTTTGAAAATTTTCAAACAATTTTGTCAAAATATATATATAAGGGGTATTTTAGTAATTTACCATATATCTCGAGCCGCTCGCAAGTCGCTTGACAATGTAAAATATGGATTCGAGCTCGACTCGAGTTCGATCAAACTCGAGCTCGAGCCGAGCTTTGACTCGAGCGCTCGCGAGCCGCTCGACTCATTGCAGCCCTACCCGTGCATCACATGGGATTCGTACAAGTTTGTTTAATAAAGTCTGCAGTTATAATTAGTTTATTTCTCCCTAACCTTTCCATCAAACCATTATAATATTTTCTTCCAAAATTGCCGGTTCATCACATTCACATCATTCCCTTTGAGTG